TAAATAAAGGGTTTGAAATAGTAATAGTAACAATAATAATACACTGTATATGATATTACTAAATTACTGAAATCAGAAATGTTCCGGAAGTACGGAAGAGAGGTGCAATCATTCATATTTACTAGTATATTACATAGTAAAAAGTAAAGTAAATTTAAACTTACAGTATCGGTTAATCACTCATTAGAACAAACAAGCATATACACACACAAAACCATATTTAACTACAAAAAGTCTGGTAAATATAAAATCTGTGAAAGTTATCTTTGGAAATAGTAACTACAAAAAAACACTAGAGAAGAAGGTTGACTACAAAAATCTGAACCATTGGTTCAACCGTAACCAGTCTATTATCAAACTGAGGACTTTTCCAGTTTCACATCAGTAGCCGTCAAAACTATGAAAGTACTTATCAGAACGAAAATAAAACGATGCATTCAGCATTCAATCCCACCTTATACTCGCAAAATTCAAGTACACTTATGAACGATGCTATTATCGTGTGAGAACATTAGTGATACTCTCTAGGAGTTCAAACAAAAGTAGGTGAAGTGCGGCTCAATTTCATAACTGAATGTTTTAAGCAGTGATCATCATTATCCCCATTCATGAAAATACTTCAAGGAACAATACTCACTCACCTGACCAGTAAGTTGTTTAATTTCTTCTGAAGCTTTATGATTACGCCGCAATAATCCAGACACCTCTTGACTTAAAGACGAAACTTCACTACGAAGAAGTTTATTCTCCAGTTGAAGATCACTAGTAATAGAGGAATGTGTATTTCGTGACTGTTTACAAGAATCTTCACTTAGAACCTCTAGTTCATGAACAGTTGTTACAGTAGAACTCTCTTCTTTACTTGTTTTAACAGGTGTACCAGAGTGTTTAGTCGACAGTGATGTTTCATAACCACTACTCTGATCTTCTTCAATTTTATCGCTAGTAGATAATAAAGAATCTCGTCTCACTGCGTCTCGTCCTAATGGATTGGTGATTTCATCTGAGTTGACTGATTTAGTAGTATTTAAAAAATTAAATAAATCTAAATCATTTGATTGTTGTATCGAACTGTTTGATTTCGCTGCAGATTTCAAATCTTTATTCCTGAAAATCATGTAAAAACCCTGTTAATATAATGTAACTTTTTGATCAATTATAGATATATATGGCCTCAGCTTACAATTGTAGCGATTGTATGAGAGTTAGAAATACAAATCGGTTACTTAAACTGAAGTAGACGGAGAGACAATCAAATCTGGAACTCACCAAGCCACTGATTTAGAGAAGCATGGTAGCCAGTGACCAATAAATTGGTTCATATGCCATTTGTTTCCTTAGGATCCTGGAGCCCATGTAAACTATTGGTTTGGAATCAGTGTTTTCCAACTACCCTAGGTGGATCCTCCGTACCCACCAAAGGATGGACAGCAATTGGAAAGAAATGACCGGGAGGAGTTAGATGGACAATCCTGGTTGGCGACCTATACTCCTACACGAGGGGTGACAGGCGTAAGTAAACCTGAAATGAATATTCATAATCAGTTAATTACTACAAATAGTTACAGAATTAAAATTGGATGTAAATATAAATGGTTCTTGTTATGTTGTTATCATCAATTTCACAGATAACAAGAAACATTACTATTTACATTCAATTTTAATTATGTAATTATTTATAATAATCAATTGATTATGAATATTCACTTTAGGTTTAATTATAATGTTCCAAACATTATGCAACTAACTCATTATTACTTTGTTAAACTGACCCATCATCATTTAATGGGTATCGATTTCTTATTCACTTATAAAGCAAATATATTAGTGTAGAACCTTGATGAAGAACTAATTGAAATAGATTGTCGCTTAACTTGTGAAGTCCTCAACTGCGAAAAATTATTTGAAAATTGGTTGCTTCATTAATCAATTCAATCCTTTAGGGTATTGATAAAAGAGGTCAATGATAAGATCAAACCAATTGAAAAATGGTAATAATAACTTGTTTAAACAATAAACTGCAACTTACTACAACTTGTTTTTATCATTTTCTAAATAATTACCTGGATATTTTGCTTTGAACAGAAGACGATGACGATAATTCTGATAAAGTGTTGTTATTTAATGTGTCAACCAGTGTACGCTGATTATTGCTTTCTGATAATGATTGATAAAAGCTAGTTGTAGCTGACATTTCCAATGGTTTCACTGTAACAGCCATATCATGTCTTGAATTTATCAACAACTCATTAGGCTGGTTAGAATCGGTTAATGTGTGATATCTAAATGATGTCTCAATGGGATAATTGCTAGTATTGTCCACATAGTCACTGATATGTTCTTCAGGAAATCTCTGTTGATCAGTTGACCTGAAGACTTCTGCAGCTGAATTATCGAGGGTGTTTAAAAAATTTTCAGCTTTATTGGCTAAGTTACTTAACCATGACATTGATTACGCTAAAGCAAAAAGAGTAAACGAATGATAATGAATGTCAAAATTAGAAAACAACACATTGTATTACTAAACCACATGTCTATAACAACAATATCAACAGAGTACTATGCCGATATACATTCTTTTATTACTTATAAACACTTTAAAAATGAAATATATACAACTGATAGCACGATGAAAGAATACAATAATTATGATAAAGTGAAAGTAATGACTATCAGCACAATGTCACTGAAACTGACACTTTGTTCATCGACTGCACTTGGAATGTTAAAATATGTTGTTATGAATTGATTTAACCAGTAACAACCAATACATAATATTAATTCCGTAAAAATAGGAAGTAACTAAAGGCTACAAATCATATTCCACAACAAAATCAATTAGAATTAATGTCATCTGTATGAAGCAAGTTCATTGGCACGCTACTTTAAGCTGTAGAATTACATTTCATGTCAATCAAGTAAACGTTTACTGTAAAATTTATAAAATATCTGACACCAAATTCAAGAAAATGAACGCCTCATCTTGTAAACATAGTTATGTCACTGTCAAATTACACAGTTCATGAGAAAACATCGATAGTTGAATATGAAATACCTATTAGCCACCATGTAACAAAAAGCTTTTATATAACTGTTAAATTTATACCTAAAGAAGTAACTTTTCTTAGGTTCAAAATGTTCAAACTAGTCAGTATACTTTGCGGTAAACTTACAGATCTTGGTCTATAAGTCTCCTACAAGTCGGAAAGTATATCGTGATATCAGATTACTTCACCCAATAGCCATCGTCATCGCTAGAATTTGAGTAGAATCAAGGTACGAGTTAATACGTGAAAATAAATACTTAGTGGTGTAGTGAACGAAGGTACCGTAAACCGATTTATTGTTTAATAGATCACACAGTACCTTTGGGAAATATGAAAATCATACATTAAATATATCATTTCCTCATCTTCCTAGAGTTTCTTCTTAAAATACTGTATCATACTTCCAATTCTTTTGTTATGCTGATTGATCTCATTTTTCCTATCTAATCCCTTTATTTCAATCTTCTATTGGTAAACATTTCACTTCTTATTTCTGTTGAATACCACTTATATCTACTCATACATGTGACGCACAATATAGTGGTTGATAAATGCGTTATTTAATTTAGAAACAATGGATTTTATATACAGGATGAAGAAAACTAAACTATCTGTATAGTATCATCAATTTAAAACATCAAAATACATCACGCAAAAAAAGAAACCCAGCACAAAACAGACAAAAATATAATAACATGAAAGTAAATGTATTGTTAATCGATAAAAAAATTGCACTATATCATCATAACTTTGCAAACAAAATAAATCTGTTACCATAAAATATAAAGAATAATAACTGATCGGATTCAATCAAATCAGCTTACTTAAACAATGCTAAGAATAGAATTTCACACAGTTTCCAGTAAACGATATACACATACGTGGACGCATTCCGACAAAGCTCATTTACATACGCCATAGAACCTAATCGCTTATTCATGATTTTTTTAATATTACAAGTTGTAGACAAATGACCAGAACAAAAGTGAAATAAGTTAAATTCATCTTGTTCTCCTCAAATATTTGTTCTCGTCCTCGTCAATTGCGTGTGTGAAATCACTTCAAGACCATTGAAAGCAACATTTAGTTTTGACAGTCAACACAAGTCATTCGAAAGTCGTAGCTAGAGTGTGAGGGATAAGATACTACCAGAGTGCTCAAACCGAAACAGGTGGTTTTCTTAGGGTTCACACTCAGAGCCATTGACCTAAAGGTCTGATCCATAAGGCAATGGAGCAACAACAGGAGATGCAGTCCCATGGTAGCTAGTGACCAATAATTGCTTCAGATGCCATTTGTTCCCTCAAGATCCTGGAGCCAGCCAATGTACACCATTGGTTTCGGATCACGGTTTCCCAATTCCCATAGGTGGATCCTCCATATACACTGACGTGGTTAATGCGCCGGACATTCGCTTTTCGTCCTATCAATTTCGTAAACAACAGTAATGCCACGAGAAGGCAGTGAGTAAGACTTCCCTGACAGTAGTTGTATGCACGTGGCCATGTGAGAGCATTTCGAGATGAAGAGCTGGCTCTGCACACTCCGGACGTACCAAGGCCACGTACCAGCTTCTCTCTCTGAGTCAATCATTCAGAGCAGTATAAGAAAAATACGCCAACCTTGTACAGGTTATCCACTGAAACACTACTCGTCCAATCACAGCTTATGCATAACTGACATCACAATCACCAATCTTAAATCCCGCTCGTCAGACTCGACATTTTTCCTCATTTTCATCCAACTTTGTCACAGACATTCTTCTCGACATTACGCTTTCATTGCCTCACTACTTTCCACAAACCAATATTATCACATTTTTATTTAATCTAGTTGATCTCAATCTGTGGTTCTAAAAAAAAAAACCAAACTTTACTTTTTTATAAACTGCTTAGCTATAGTTACTAATTCAAAATTAACTGGACATTTTCGTGAATAATAAACTGTGGAATTCTCATAATTTTCATTCAATCCATTGAAATAGAACAACAATACTTCAACAAATAACAGACAATTGTCAGTTTCATAAGTGAATCTTTTGTATAGGCATACCTTATTATTATTATTATTAATATAATGAAGAAGACGAAACAACAACATCCTTACCATTAACAAACATTCAACAAACGAATTCATTCACATAATTATAACAATAAAACAACTAAAAATTATACTTTGAATAAACCATTTTTATTGTAATTACACTTTTCTTTACAATTTCATTTTAATAATTTTTCTTTCTCGGTTTTCTTTGTCGTACCATTAGCAACAGTGATGAACTGAAGCAAATAGAATTAATATTAGTAAAAAATAAACCTGTGGAATAAGTAATTATAATTAGTCTTTCATATTATCTATGCAGATATCAATCGTTCATATTCAACTAAAACAGACTGGATGAAGAAATTATCATTTCAAAGAGAAAGAATTGGATTTACTCTTGTTGTTAGTTTATGTTTACAATAGATAAAGTGATTGATATTACATTTTAGTTCAAGAGTAAATAAATGTGAGTGTAGCTGTGTGCAATTTTATGTGTAACTGGTCAACATTAGCAAATGAGAAAATGAAAGAGATGGTTCATCATTCAAATGAAATGTAAATTTTACAATCCTTAATACATTTTGATGAGTAGAGTTTTACGGGTGGGGACACACACACACACACACACACAAGACATTTTCAACAGAATTAACAATATGGTGTTATTTATTTGTGGACAGTTGTTAGAAAACAGTGAAATGTTTTTTTTTACTCCATGAAAAAGAAAGAAAGAAACAGTTACAAAATATTACAAAAATAAACCAAAATCATGCAACAACAACAACAAAAAACATCATCTGTGTAACTCTAATTTGAATAGAGAAATTGAGAAAAGGCATTGTTAACAAGGCACCGAAAGAAAATTGCAAACTTTTTGCACAGGATTATATTGTTCGTAGTTGTAAGAGACACATATACACACGTAAGAGTAAAACAAACAAATAGAAAATTATAACAGAGATATGATTCTTTATAAAATAAACAAAGAAGCCAAGAAACAGAAAGGAATAATCACGATATCAAAAAAAACCCAAGAAGTGGAGACAAACGATAGTCCTAGCTTCAAAGGCACTGAAAAGTAGGTCAATTTAAGAGAAGAAACAATAATGAATAAATAAATATAAAATAAAAATGTATAGGTGAATGTGCGTGAAAGGATATTCAGCAGATTTAACGGCAAAAAAACAAAACACACAGCTGGAGATTAACATTATCATTAATTTCATTATTATCCGTATCAGTATCATTATTTCATCATCATTTTTGCGGCTGTAAGAGTTGTACTGGATGGTAAAACACTGTTACTTTTGTTGTCCGGTTTCGATGATTGTCTATAAGTAATAATAATAGCAATAGTAATACTAATAATAATAATAAATTAGCAGAAATAAAGGTGAAAATTTGTAGTTTAGTTGAAAATTGTTTAGTTTAAAGTAACTGGAAGCAATCAGAAGATTGTCATGTTGTTCTTAGGTTTTATGTTAACTGGTATACTTATCACAACCATCTGTATCTCTAATAATAAAGGTAATCACACATATCTATTTATTTAAACACATAAACATTGGTACATGGGAGGCACCAAACAAATATGCGCCACATAAACCATTCGATTTGTGTGAGGGCTATGAAAATGCCAGTGGGCCCAAACCGAAGTACGTGGTTCTCTTAGGGGGTCACAACCGGAGACTTCGACCTAAAAGTCTGATTCACAAGGCAGTGGAGCATCGTAAGGAGATGCAGTCCCATGGTAGCCGATGACCAACGATTGGTTCATATGCCATTTGTTCCCTCAGGATCATAAAGCACATGTGCACCAATGGTTTGGGATCAGGGTTTTCCATCTCCCTTAGGTGGACTCCCTGTGTCCACCAACCCGGTTAAAGTGACGGATATTCGCTTTTCGTCCTATCAATTTCGTAAACAACAGTGATGCCACGAGAAGGCAGTGAGTAGGACTTCCCTGGCAGTGGTTGTATGCACGTGGCCATGTGAGAGCATTCGGAGAGGGAGAGCGGACTCTTTCCACACTCGGCAGTACCAGGGCATTTGAAGGCCGTATTAAAGTAGGCATTGGTTAGGTATGACGTACTACATGCCTCAATCACCTCAGTTGATCATAAATCGTTACCTCACCAATCGATTTGTTATCCTCACCAAGTATCCTTCGTCTAAAATCAACACTGCTCATTGAGTATTCCAAATAATATCCGAGCAATCCATTAGAAGTATTTATGGTTAAATAACATTACCCTATGCAAACACACCATTTTTAAAAGCAATCTTTCCCTGCCACTGGTTAACTCTGTTTGTGATTTTATCACCTATGAATATCAATTAGATAGAGCTGTTTCTTTTCAAGTTTATCAACAACGGTATTTAGTACCTCAATTCTCCATAAATATTTAAGGGTACCCATTTATTTGTTATATATGATAGCGCATTCCTACTTGAGCTTTACTGATGAACGCAACTTTTCAACTCAGTAGTAGAGTATTTCCATCAATTCATATTTATTTTAATAGTTGAGATCATGAGTCAATTGAAGCTGGACCACCACCACGGAAAACCTGGCAGCACTGAACGGCCGTTTCGTCTTGTTGTGGGACTCTTCAGCAATGTGTATCCACGGTCCCGCCCAGCAGGATTCCAACCCAGGACCTATCAGTCCCCCGCGCGAACCCTTAACCTCTGGATCACTGAGCTGGCCGACATCCAACAGTGTTAATATCTAACTTCAACTAATCCACGAAATTGAGTCACACATACACCATTGTCATCAGTGAGTTACTATCTCACAACAGACCCAGTTGAACTCCACTGGTCACTGTCTGTCACTAGAACTCCAAGATATACCTCTTGAAGCCAGTCACTAGTGAGCATATGTTGATTCATATCAGAAGGGGCTTTTATGGATATCATAATATTTTTAAAAGTTGAGATCATGAATCAATTGAAGCTAGACCACCTGGGTTCAAATCTCGCGAGGCGGGATCGTGAATGCGCACTGCTGAGGAATCCTACAATAGGACGAAACAGTTGTCCAGTGCTTCCAGGTTTTCCATGGTGATGGTCTAGCTCCATTTGACTCATGATCTCAACTACTAAAATTACTAATAATATTCATAAAACTCCTTCTGATGTTAATTCATATTTATACATGTTATGGAACTGAAAGTTATGAAAGTTTAAATATTGATTTTATTATTATTATTTTCATTTTTCAATTAATTATAATCATAATTTAGTGAGGTTAACTCAAATGTCTTTCGAAACTTTCTAAATGCTTTTTATATTACGTAATAAAAATTATCTTAAATATATTAAAACCATAACTATAAGCAATTAGTAAGAAAAAATTTCAACTCTTTATTTACATTACAAACAATTGATTCGTTGTTAATGGACAATTCATGTTACCAATTCCATACTATGTTAATTCATTCAATTTGTATATAGCGTTGTTTACGAAATTGAAAGGGCTAGAAAGAGAATGTCCAACACTTTATTCAGGTTGGTGGATATGGAGGATCCACTTAGGGGAATTGAAAAACCCTGATTTTAAACAAATGGTGTACATGGGCTCCTAGATTCTGACTGAATAAATGGCGTATGAACCAATTATTGGTCAGTGGCTACCAAGGGACTGCATCTCCTAACGTTGCTCCACTGTCTTGTGGATCAGACCTCTAGGTCAAATGTTGGTGGTGTGAACCCCGGGCAGTATCTCAGCCCTCACACAAATCAATGATAACTGCTACTGGCTGCAATGTTATTGTGTGGTGCATATGTATTCGTTGCCCTTTTGTACTAACAGTTATGTGTTCAAACAAATAAATAAATAGTCAAAAAGAAAACAAGTAGTTACAATGAATCCACTACATTCAACGGATATTTTCATTATCCCTTTATTTAAATTTGTGAAATGTATCAATCGTATGAAATAAACACATTCGTTAACCAATTATAGGGAGACTGAAGAAGTCCATATTTATCATGAAATATGTTTGTTATGAACGCTGATTTGACTAGTGAATAAATGAAGTACTTAGAAATTCTATCACTAACATTATGCTAATTCGTGTTTAAATATCTATACAGGAAATAAGTGGCTATTTACACAAAACAGTCGGTGCAATTTCTTAGATTATTCTGATGAACAATTTAGTATTATTACATTACGGAGAGGATGAATAAGCACCAACTGTTGAGCCATCATCCTATAATTATCATATTTGAATGTGTGAGACAATATTTAAATGTCTAATCGTTAGATCATTAAATCAAAACTATGTGAATAAGTATGAGTAATATCAATGAAACGTAGAGTGGTGGCTCAGCAATTAAGGTGCTCGAAACCCTCTTCACCATTTAGTGAAGTCACCATTCTGCATAAAGAAAGAAATTAAAATATCTAGCAATTATTTTGAAGACGCCTGGATTAAAAGGTCTACGAGACGCACAAGCCGTGGAGATCTAGCTTTCTGAATTTTGCCGTGGAACGTCTAGACTTCCGTTGTGGAAGATATTCCCAAAGTAAACAATAAGGTGGAGTGGGACAGAAGCTTTAGCCAACTCATTGCTTCCGTTCATCCGGCAGGTTGGAAATTGACAGATGTTCTAAAAAAAAGGGGCAGAGTCTAAATGAGTCGAAAACTAAGTAGTATGTTGCAGGCGATTCAAATGAAAACATCAAAAGAGAGTGGGGGTGGTAGTTGTCCAAAGAACACTATCTAAGCAAGTTTCCCTTGGCATATCAATTACGGAAAACTTAAGCCGGCATAAGCTCTAGTTTGAGGATAGTTTGGATCACAGACAAACACCAGTTAAAAAAGCTGCTGTAAAACCAGTGAGCACTGAAGAGCCGTTTCGTTCTAGTTTGCAACTGCTATTGCATACTATGAAGACTGTGAAGTATGGGAATGTCGGTTAATTTGTCTAAAGGCACCGTGAATATTGCAGGAGTTTTGAACCAGGACAAAACATCAGCTTATTGTCTTCTAACGGTTCACCAGATAATATATGTTGTTTGTGAAGAGAATTTGTTGTAAGAGACGACTTGACAATATGAGGTAAAAACTTTCGAAGCTATTTTTCTGCGATTTCATTTATATCTATATTGATTGCATGTTTATTAAGTATTTTTGGTTTTATTATTTTTGTGTTACCCTATTTCTATGCTTTTATTTGAACCGTAAATTGTCGCTATAGCATCCCCTACTTATAAACTATAACCAATTATTTGTGTACCCAGTTCTCTGTTTTTCCCATCGTCTTTGCTGGGTATTGGTTGCTTAAGGTCATCTACACGTAGTAGTCGGTTGTAGGACATAAAAACACCAAGCCTTCAGTCATACAAATCTCTTAGCCTAATACTTTACTTACTTACGCCTGTTACTCCTCGTGAAGGAACATAGGCCGCTCACCAGCATTCTCCATCCAACCCTGTCCGGGCAATCCTTTCCAGCTCCTTCCGATTGTTATTCATCCTTTCCATATCTGCTTTTATTTCCCGACGTAATGTGTGCTTTGGTCTTCCTCCTTTCCGCCTTCCTTCAGGATTCCAAGTTAGGGCTTGCCTCGTGATGCAGTTTGACGATTTGCGCAATGTATGTCCTATCCATTTCCATCGTCTTTTCCTAATTTCTTCTTCAGCTGGAAGTTGGTTTGTTCTCTCCCACAGAAGGCTATTGCTGATGGTATCCGGCCAATGGATGTTGAGTATATTGCGTAGACAGCTATTTATAAATACTTGTACTTTCTTGATTGTGGTTGTTGTAGTTCTCCAAGTTTCAGCTCCATACAGTAGAACTGCCTTGACATTCGTATTGGAGATTCTCACTTTGATATTGGTTGAAAGTTGTTTTGAGTTCTATATGTTCTTCAATTGTAAGAATGCTGTCCTTTCTTTGCCAAACCTCGCCTTTACGTCTGCATCTGAACCTCCTTGTTCATCGATTATGCTTCCCAGGTATGTGAAGGACTCTACATCTTCCAGAGTTTCGCCATCAAGTGTGATTGGATTGCTGTTCTCCGCTTTGAATTTGAGGACCTTGGTTTTCCCCTTGTGTATGCTGAGGCCTACTGATACAGAGACTGCTGCTACATTGGCTGCCTTAGCTGCATTTGTTCATGTGAATGCGATAAAAGGGCCAGGTCATCTGCGAAGTCCGAATCGTCTAATTGCTTCTGACCTGTCCATTGTATGCCGTGTTTTCCCTCAGATGTCGAGGTCTTCATAATCCAGTCGACCACCAGAAGAAAGAGGAAGGAAGAGAGTAAACAGCCTTGTCTGACTCCAGTTCTTACTTGGAATGCATCTATCAGCTGTTCGCCATGCACGACTTTGCACTGTAGTCCGTCATATGAGTTCCGGATAATATTGACAATCTTCTCAGGAACTCTGTAGTGTCGAAGAAGTTTCCATAACGTTCTCCTATCTACACTGTAAAATGCCTTTTCATAATCAATGAAGTTGATGTATAGTGACGAGTTCCACTCAACTGATTGTTCGACGATGATCCGTAGTGTCGCAATTTGGTCTGTGCACGACCAATCCCTACGAAATCCAGCATGTTGATCTCGAAGTTAGGCGTCTACTGCATCTTTCAAGCCTAATACTGTAATAAGTAGAAATTGTACCACCCACATAGTCATTCGTTTTTTTTTTGGCGAACAAGTAACAACAAGCGGGAACCTAGTACGATTGAGTATAGATCTAGTTTGCTACATTCAGCATTAGCATAATAAGAAAAAACCAACAAAAGGAAAATAAAAGTGACAAAAAACTACATTTTCGGTTCATTTTCATAATTTGAAAATAATGTAATACGAAATGCCAAGTCACAGAATGAACTTAACTCATGCTCCTAAGCAGCTTAATGACAGATAACAATGAGAATGTTTGCTGACTACTAACAAATTAGTTAAGACTATGACACCCAAATACCGCACGACTGGTTGAAATTGTGAAACGCCATAATTGAGAGGAAGATGAGTACAGTATTAAAGTTAAATCGACAGCTTAGAATTCATATATAATATGGTAGTATTGTCTGGATGACGTGAAAATAAAGAAATGTTAGTAGATCGATGATGAAACTGTTTGCTGAAGTGATTGCACTAGAGCAGATTAAAAACAGTACTAGAATCCTTAGAAGAATAAGAAAAAGAAGAAGAAGAAGAAGAAGAAGAAGAAGAAGAAGAAGAAGAAGAGGGGGCAACACATATCCATACAACTATACATATGGATGTGGTCAGTGGTAACAGTATTAGTAAGTGGTAGATGATGACCTTAACAACTGACTAAATATTCATGAGAACAACACAGTAATCATTTTATATTTCTAATCTTACATGTATATTTAAGAGTTTTCTCACTTTTCTAACTTTCTATTTCTTATCATGTATTGCATAAGTGAAGAACCAAGAAAAGAAATCATGTGACTACTCAACGGATACTAAGTATTGTATGTATTATATATATTACAAAATTAAAATAGAAACCTATTGTATTGAGTAGAAAAAAAATCAATAATAAATGAACAATTAAAACAAAAGAAAATTGATCTGCTGATACTTCTTTCGTTTTATTTTTGTTTTTTCTTAAACATTCAAATAATAAAAAAACATTTAAAAAAAAAGAGAAACAAGTAACTCAAATCAACATTAGAAAAAATTATACCAAGATTTATGTATCTTGTTGCTGGAGAAATAATAATATCTCAAATCGGCGGCGTATTTTAACCTGTTTATTTTTAACTTAATAGCTATGTTAATTAGTCAGTCAGTAGCAACGTAGAACTTCGTACATGCGTACATCAGTTCGAGTTGCTATACCACATTAGCACAGAGATACAATTGTCGATTCAAATCCCATAGTGGTAGCGGTAGTAAAACTATAAGCAGTAATCGGGAAGATTAGGGTTTAAAGATGTTATTCAACGAGTATAATAAAGTGAAATAAAGTTGGAAATACAAAAAAAAGACATGAAGAATTCAGAAGATTAGAATTTGAGAGAATACAAATAGTGGATGCACCTGTTAATTAAGTGAAGTATAGTTGATGTTAGTGCTGATATCAAATTATATTATATTATATTATTTATTTATTTAAACACATAAACATTGGTATATGGAGGCACCAAACAAATATGCGCCACATAAACCATTCGATTTGTGTGAGGGCTATGAAACTGCCAGTGGGCCCAAACCGAAGTACGTGGTTCTCTTAGGGGGCCACGACCGGAGCCTTCGACCTAAAAGTCTGATTCACAAGGCAGTGGAGCATCGTAAGAAGATGCAGTCCCATGGTAGCCGATGACCAACAATAGGTTCGTATGCCATTTGTTCCCTCAGGATCATAAAGCACATGTGCATCATTGGTTTGGAATCAGGGTTTTCCATCTCCCTTAGGTGGACTCCCTGTGTCCACCAACCCGGTTAAAGTGACGGATATTCGCTTTTCGTCCTATCAATTTCGTAAACAACAGTGATGCCACGAGAAGGCAGTGAGTAGGACTTCCCTGGCAGTGGTTGTATGCACGTGGCCATGTGAGAGCATTCGGAGAGGGAGAGCGGACTCTCTCCACACTCGGCCGTACCAGGGGTATTTGCTTACAATTGATTAACTAAATGTCAAATAACAATCATGTAATTATTTAGTCAAAATATTGACAAAATTGTTGATATGGAGATGAGACAAATTAGATCAAATGATATAAAATCTATTCAGTTAGATGTGGTAATCTATTTTGGTTCTAACTACATTTTTTTATTAAATTCAATGATGATTTGGTTGTAAAATTTTCATTTTCATTGTGGTCAATAATGTTAATGCTTAAACCAGCTAAATAGATGTGGGTTATCTCTAGATTACTCAATAAACATTAAATCAGTTAATTCTGTTGACCTTCAATTGTTTTAGTAGGTTTTATTATCTTTATATACCTTTGGATTTTCACTGATTATTTCATTCAATTGACTATACTAAACGGTATGATTGACAAACTACATCTATATTATTATGCCTATTGATTGTAGATTGACCTGAATAATATGTTTCAAGGAATTCCCCAGTGTTCTTGGAATATACTCCATTCAGAATTCTGACATATTCACAATCATTTTAATGCTTGTGTTCGACTGTTGCATATATAAATATAAGTGATATTCTATCATGTTATTTGAATACAAGTGCATGATGATGTATAGATGAAAAGGATGTTTACCTTATCCGAATTAATGCTTTTCGAAGTTGGTGTCATTTCTTTCATAGATAACGATGTCGTATTTATTTGCCCTCACTGTTGTATTACTCAGTTTGGTTACAAAATGGGATGAGAGATTGAGTAGTTGACTTGTAGGTGATTATCAATTTAGTTAACTTACTACCCTCCATAGAAAGTTTCAAAATGCAGATAATTCATATTATTAGTTTTACCATACGTAAAACACAAAAAACCTATCTATAAAGCCATTAAAATGTTACAGTCAACTATCCTGTATAACTGAAATAATCAGCAAAATTTCCATTAGTTTAAATTCGAACACTAAAAGAGTTTGGTTAATTATAATCTAATGAGTATTAGAGAATATAACCTGGTGTTTTTGGAGCAATGAGTTTCAACTGTGGACTTTATGGAAATAAGGAAATAGTACAATTTAATTAAGATGTTAAGTGGTTGAAGCTAGTCGTTAGGATACTCTGGACCTAGGTTTCGTGCTAGTTAGTCAGTAATGTTGATTAACTTTATCAAATATAATTAATAAATAAGATATTTCAATTATATAATTAAGATTCCGTCATGAACAATTAATGGCAACTATATGAATTCAATTAATTGAATATATACACAATAAACTTACCCTAAAATTTTATCAGCTCTCTTTTGAGCGAACGCCAATTGTGACTGATTATACTGCGCCTAGAAAGCAATATTTCCATGCATTAAATTAATGTTTGGATAAGTAGAATTTTAAAAATGTATTATAAATAAAAATATCACAACTAGATTACCTTTTACATTCGGTTATCACTTGGAAAAATTCATAGACTATTTGACAGAACACATCTACATAGACACAGGGATTTTACATGATTAACGCAGCTACCAACTACAGATTGATGTACTCAGGGCTTTGAGTCACACACTACAGTAGTGTGAAAGCACTGGGTGTCCACATTAGTGTGGGTAAAAAGGGATTAAAAGTTAGTTAGGGAAAACCAAGCGTTCTAGTCACTAAGATATCACTCAATGAAACGCGATGCATTTACAACCCTAAATTAACTGGTCCCTTTTAAGTTTTAAGAAATTTTAGCATGTTTCCATAAAAGAGAAAGAAATACGACTCTTAAAAATAATTGATTTCTACACGAAAGAGTGAGATACTTGAAAATATAATGGGATGTTTACAGACTTTAACGTAAAAAGAATTCCAACCGTGATTATCACAACCATTAAAGTAGGTGATACGATGAACAGATCTGATTGGGCTTACCGTGATGTTGCACAATGTACTGAGGTTGTATACTACATCAAATTCAAGGGTAAGAATGCTTCAATAAGAAGCTAGATTATTCAACTCATTAAGATTCACCATCGAATTTGAATGCTTCAAGTCTTGATTAGACACACTAACACTAATTAATATCCATGAGCTGTAAAATGTATTACTCAGCAAATGAAGCTTCCTATGCAGTTCATTTTCTTAGATCAATTAGATTAACTAAACACGGAGTGTGTTGAGTAAAATTATAGATCATTTATAATCAAGAAAAGCATTTTATGCTTCAAGTATGGAACATTTGATTATTTGTAATCAATTTGATATTTTTCACTTTCTTGACTCGATAACTATTTCTCAAGGGAAAGTGGTTTTCATTCCTTTCATATGATTAGTTTTATATAGTTTAACCTTCAGCGTAACAAATGAAAGTTATAAACAAGTGTTTAAGATTTTACTTGATTCCTGCTTCGATTTGAGCACGCGGGTAATATCATACCACACACACAAATCAAGTGAATTGTGTGGTGCATATGTATTTGGTGCTCCTTTGTACCAATATTAATGTGTTCAAATAAATAAATAAAATAAACACTTGATTCTAGTTAACAAACTAATTTCTATCCAGTTGAAACAAGATTTGAATATTAATAATCATTAATCTGATTGGAATTGACCAAAAAAATATCGTTTGTCATCCAATCGCAAAAACGTCCACTGAGTATAAGTGTCTATTTTAGTAGATGGGGACAATGGAGTTTACCCGTGTCGGACGTAAAATAGAAGTCCTATATTAAACTGGAACTGCTATCAGTGTTTCTTAGTTGTTTATGTAAATTCAGTCCATGATATAAACTGAACAGTCAAAATAAACTTCTGATACTAATAATTATTTCGTTCGGGAGTCTAGTTTTTTTTTGTATTCAATTTAACCGACTAAACAATGTGCACTGGGTATTTTTGGCTTGGACTACCGAAACGTACATGTACATATTTTATACGAATATTCGTCTAGATTAGAACGAATAGTTTGACAGTAATTGAAGCTCTGCATATATGGGCGAACAAGAACAGCCTGAACCGAAAAGATGGTATTCAAATGGCAACTACCTGGCAAATTTCGTTTGACAAGTAAATTTGGAACCTATCTCTTGTTTAAACCTGTTTTTAATATCACATGCATCGTTATTATTATTAAAAGAACTGAATGAGTTTATAAACAATACAATTTATGTTTTGACATGCACATCGATCTTTCATTATCAAGTTTTTTCATCCTTGAACTTGAACTTTATTTATTCCTTCATATCAATCTCTCACACATACATACATACATACATACACACTCACACACATACGATTTGTTACTCAGTTAAGTATTTCCATGTAGTTGAATTCATCACATGATTTGTAGTCAACTGACTCATTTTATCCTATTTTACAAAAAATCAACACCCAAATATGATTGGTTTAACACAGTATAATCCTGATTGTTAAAAAGCTATATATTTCTTTGATAATTTTGATTTTGATTATTACCCTGAAGAAGTCCAGACAAGTTAGCTGGACGAAACGTTGGAATTAGTTATATTTCAATCGCTGAGAATATTTCAAATATAATTTTCACATATAAGTACATGTACATAGTTATAACTTGTACTGGAAGAATAAAAACTTAATAGACTGTTAATCAGTTTGGTTGATTGGTAGACCAACTGAGTAATAATTAAGGGATGAAAGAAAACCAATTTTATTGTATGGATATTCGAAAATGTCTGGTGAAGTTTTAAACACAAAACAGGTTTTCTCTCAACTTTAATCATAATACCTGAATAAAAACAAATAATTTCCCGTGTAGACAGGCAAGATATTATAATATCAATTTGTCTTAAAGTACCAATAATCTAAATAGGAAAGTGCGTCAGAATAAAATCTTGTTCATGGTACATCATGATTCGCAAATTTTATTTGATAGTCAATGTCAGGTACACGTCATAGAGATTCAGAGGCAACTAACTGAGAGTTGACAAACATGAAATATACATAAGGTAGCTTGGACGAATTACCGATGACAGTTGAATTAAGACTACAGATTTGTGTACTCACGGACTTTGAGTCACAATATATGACTGTCGTATGACAGCTAGTGATACTATTCGACTTTTTTGACCAGTATACCTCACTATTCTTCAATGACGTCGATAATTGGAGGATTGAGTGAAAAAGGATGACAGTGCTAAACAGTGAATAATAAAATAAAGGTAAGTGCAAAAAAACAAACTTTTTGATCGATTCGATCAAGAATCTGATTATGTGTTGTTATCTCTTGATTCATATCAGTAGCCATAGAATGCAGTTGAGATACCATCCCTGAAACTTGTTGTAAATTCTGTTCCATTTCGTCTTCACGAGCGTCATTGGTGATTCTGTAAGTCGATTTGAAAAAAGAGAAATATCATTTCCAACAGAAACAACTTTCTACTTGATAAACACTGAACTAGAAAGTCAATTGCTTATAAGAAAATTTAGATAGGTAAAATTAATTTTAAACTATTGTCACAGCTTCAAGCCTTCATCACATATGATAGATTTTATAGGTAATTAGAGCACTTTATAACAACTAATTATGTTTTAGTGATACAACGGAGAAAAAGCATTTCATAAGAACGATAGTGACTAACAAGATTGAACGGTATTAAGAAAATAGTCTGAGCTAATAAGGTTGTTGAATATGGTCATAATTAAGGAAATAATAGACAGAATTTTACTCATATGCCTACTATCTTGAGTGAGTGTGACTTAGATGACCTGTCTTCATTCGGTGAATGATTGATGAAAGTTGCAATTCACTTGTAAGGATAAAGCCTGACCAGTAAGTATGCAACAATGTGCAAAGACATTTAGAAATGATTGACCGAGAATTTCTGACTTTACTTCAATTATCAAGCTAGATCACCTTTCCTACTTACCAGACGTACTGCAGTGAAGGAGAACACAGGTGAGGACAACCGATTATTTAGCACAAAATTACAGTTACTTGATAAAGTAGAAAAACCGTACTCCAAAACTTCATTTGCAAAATGTTCATTAATTGTCTCAGGCTTCATTGTTTCTGCATTTCCGTACCAATTGCTTTCTGCTCCCGTTCTTCAATCCTCGATCTTATCAACCTTCTGCTGACAGACATTCTATTCCTGGTTGGCATTATATACTACTCACGTCAACATAAGTAGCACACACCACCCTTGTCCCCCCTCTTAATAAGCTGTTCTCGCAGTCTCTCCGATGGCCGTACCGCTACATTCTTTGTTGCTGTTCGTGACTCGCACTCATGATGCGCCAGCAAAATTAATGGTAACTCTTTCTCTCAATTTCCTCCTTTAGATGCTGACCATTCCTTTAACGTCCGGTTATTTCTTTCTGTAAGCCCGTTCATCTGAGGGTGATACAGTGTGGTTCGTATCCTCTTGATGCCCAACTGCTTTAGACGGGCTTTAAAAGCGACAGTTTTAAAACGGGGAACCTGTTCGGTTAATATCATATTCGATATTCCATAACACACTACAACATGCCGGATTACTACTTCGGTCACTGTTTTTTCCCGCTGGTCTGCAATGGGTAAGGCGTCTACCCAAAGTGTAACATGTTCTGTCATCACTAGCAGGTACTAGTTGCCGCCTGCCATCTGTGGAAACGGTCCCATCACATCCACCGACCATAGATCACCGACTGCGGTTACTGGGACTGACTATAATGGCGATTGTGAGTATCGATCGCTTTTCATTAGTTGGCACTGCTGGAAAGTTAACATGTATTGAGCCACATCGTCTCTCACGCTTGGCCAGTATGCACGTTGTCGTAGCAAATCCGTCGTTCTTGCAATACCTGTATGCGCTCTCCGGTGAAACTCATGTATCATCTTCGAGATTACAGCCACCTAATTTTCTTCATCGTCCTGATAGATAAGGGCTTCATATACATTCTCTCAGTCTTTCCTTTTGTTGAAGCAACATCATTACCTCCTTGTCCATTGCTCGGTGTCGAGGTCTGCCCCCTCTTTTATTACTCTGATTACCTCTATAAGTATAGGGTCAGCTTTCTGCTGTCGGACAAGTTCTAGTGGGTTTCTCTTTATACTATTCGTTGCGTATGTTGTCAACGGAAGCTCGGCTTCCATGTCTGGTCTTGAGAATTAGTCCACCATTACGTTTTCCTTTCCTGGAACATGGCCAATACTGAAGTCGTACTCCTGTAGACCTAGCATCCATCGCTCCAACTCTCCACGGGGTCTCTTGCTGTTTTCAGCCATTGAAGGGGTTTATGATCAGTCTCGATGTGGAATCGTCAACCTAAAAGGTACGATCTCCATTTGTCTACTGCCCACACAATCGCTAAACGCTGTTTTCGACCTTTGAATAATTATTTTCAGTGTGTGTGAAAACGCGACTCGCGTATTCAACCACTCTATCAGACTGACTCAAGACGGCACCTATACCATGATTACTTGCGTCTGTGGCCACTGTAAACTGTTTCTCAGGTCCAGGCAGTCTGAGCGTCATCTGGATGTTGCCTAGCATGTTTTTGATTCGGTTGAACGTTTGTTGGGCGGTCTCAGTCCACGTAAACTTAGTGTTGCTCAACGACTTATATAGGGGTGCTGCTATTTCGTTGAAGTCCTTGACGAACCGACCGTAGAACGCTGTCCTTCCCAGGAATTGTACTGTAATGTTCTTTATGGTTAGAATTTTCTCCGGCACTGATTTTGTTTCTCCATTTCCCACTTTATGCCCCAACAACGTGACGCTACTTTTCGCAAACTGCGACTTGTCTTTATTAATTCGTTACCATACACCTCGACGTTATCTAGACCCCTGAGCAACAGTATCATTAATCTTCTGAACTTAAAATGTGCACCCGTCAACCCAAACGGCACTCATCTAAATTGATAATGTTTATCACGTACAGTAAATGCTGTCCTGTTTCGACCGCTCGTTTATAAGCAGTTGCCAGTAACCTGACCGCAAATTCAGCACTGTAAATACCGTAGAATTCTGCAGCCGATCTAATGTTTCCCCTACTGTTGGGATTGCACAAGGTTTCAGTTCTGTTATGTTATTTAGTTCTCTAAAATCGACACAAAATCTATATATTCCATTCGATTTCTTTACCAAGAGTACCAGCGAGTTATACGAACTGTCTTCTTCCTCAATTATACCTTCTTTTAACATCTCCTGAACCTCTCGATTTACCATGGCCTCTAAATGCACAAGGACACGACGTGTTGCAAATATATCAGGATTTCGTGCTTTACTTTGCAACAAAATCCGTACGGCTCTGTCTCCCGTGAACAGTTTCGTATACTTTGTGCACAACTCGTTAAGGTTTGGTTTCTTCATCGAAATGTTTGTTGCCACTCTTATCTCAGCCATTTCGCTACTTTCATGTATTGGGAATGAACAGTACTTTGTGACCACCTTACCGCTTCTTAAGTCAACTACTGCTTTTACTTCTCTTAGGAAATCTGCTCCTAATATGGGTCTCGATAGGCTTGTGGTTACTACGAACGGAAGATTTATCTCAGCACCGCGACGCCAACAACTGTACCTCCAACTCCCCATCCAGTTTCGGCAGCGCGCGGTGCAACAACCTGGTAAGCTCCACTGCCAGCACCAGTGGGTCACCATCGATCGACAAATTCGCTAACCGGAACGTCTTCAGTACGTCTCTGTCCGCCGGGCTGTCGACCTCCGCCCTGCCTTCAGCAGCGTCACCAGCACCACCATCTTTGCCTTAGGCTCCTTCACTTCCACCAGCTCCACCACGGCCTCAAACTCCTTCGGGAAGCTCAGCACATCTCCGTCCTCGAATTCCTCCGGCCATGGAATTTTTATCCTTAGTGGAGGTAGCGACACCAAATGTAGTGACAGAGAACACAGGTGAGCACAACCGAGTCTTTAGCACAAAATTACAGAGTTACTTGATAAAATAGAAAACTACACTTCAATACTTCAGTACCACCTTGAGATTTCGCTTGTCTCTGAAGTAAAAAATAATCATTCAGAAACTATAAAACGTAAAATAACGAAACAGAGAACTCTAACTTTTGAAGACTACTAGGTGTGTTATGAACAGTGGCAATAAAGATGAAATTAGTGTGTTGCTGCAATTGTAAAACAATTTGAAGAGGATAAGATTGACATACTCTGAATTTTGCAAAATAAGAGTTTTAAAGACCGCAGTTAGTGCATTTATAGTACAGTCTATCTACCATTTATGTAGGATTTGGAGGAAGGAGAGAAAGTATTCATGTAAATATCACTTACCACATGTATCTGGTACATTGTTAATGGTTAATTAAAAACGCTGAATAAAATATGATGACGCAGTCCAAAAAGGAGGGGAATAAAAGAAGTGAATAGGAATAAACATGTATACCTGGTGATGAAAGGCCCACTCTTTTGTTGGTTTTGCTGAATTTGGAATCCTGACTGTGGCTGATAAGAGTTAACCTGATAACTATTACTAGCTCCAGTAAGATAACCATTCCCACTCGTTGGGTATTTCGGCGTTTTCGAATCTGGTTTGACTCTAAACGAAAATGAGAAATAGAAAGATGTAAAGCAAATTATACTTTACAGATGAGATTGGCATTCGAAATAAACAACTACTAAATGTTCAATACGGTTGCGAAGCTATGGACAGCGGAATTCGACCGTGTTGGGTGTGAAGAAGGTACCGACTTAATGGACGAAAACTTGGGTAGGGTAGACCATTTTATTGTACTAAACAAAACGACAGACCGAGTTTGTTAAAATTATGAAAACAATACATTGAATACACCATTTGCACAACTTCCTTGAACTGTCTCTTACGAACTCCATCGTCCTTCCATTACTGTTGCCACTCCAAACGTTTTTTCTCTTTTCCACATTTTTCTCTTGATTGTAAGAATCCTACTTCCAATCCTAGCTGCATACTACTGATATCTGTCCGTATAAGTAGCACATGACACATCAACCCAAAATAATAGATGGTTGGGCAATATCCCTAATTTATTGAAGTCAGACATGCACACCATTAGATGCCAGTTCAGTGATCTAGAGGTTAAACATTCACCGGCGATACCGCAGGTCCTGGGTTCGATCGCCGGTTGCAGTTATGGATGTGTGCTGCTGGGGAGTCCCAAATTGAAACGAAACGGTCGTCCAGTGCTCCCAGGTCTTCGTCAGTTATCTAATTCAGATCGACTCGAGATCTCTATGAAGTCATACCATCATCACAATCCCATATTGGTGTACATTCATATAATTTAATCAGTTAATCCATGGCTCCGTTCAGGAAATCCGTTCTTTTAGAGTTAGAGAATCGATTCTAGGACAAAACTCTCAGTTTATACATTCCGCCCGTTTCATTATTAATGGAAATATTCGGAGGTTACGGATACCTTAAAATACAACATGTAACTTACTTCCTCCACGGTAAAACGCATAAACCACAACACTTATCGATCTCATCAAGGTCACGTTGTGCTTCGCGTAGATCTTCACGAATGTTATCCATATCCGAATCGATCCCTCTTAATTGTTCTGGAAATGAATTAATTAATAAGCCCGTTTTGTGACCATAGAGTATATCATCGTAAAACGGAGCAATAATTGAATAAAGTTTATAACCATTTCCTACAAATGATATAGACATTTATTCCCGAAGCAGAACAGAATCATTAAGATTGGATTACAATAGACAGTTGCTTGTGCACTATCCAACTAAATGCAGTGGTAAGAACATGAAAAAATCGGAGCACACATCGTTGCTACTTCGTCGTCTCTACAAACGCTACCACTGACAGTAGTTTAGGTGAACTTAAGAGATTTACAGATTTACAAACGCTCAGAACTAGTAATCGTAGCATGAGATTTTAACACCCAGGTATGTAGTATAAACAAAAGGGGAAGATACTTAAACAAATCTCACAGTGTACCAGCTTAACGAACAGACATTGGCGATGGTCTGCTACAAAAACGCTCAGATAACCGTCTATTCTTAGCAAGCACCAACTTCGAGCAGGAAGATAGATATCATCTGACATGGAGACCTCCATGATCGACTCAAGGATGGACCCAAACAGACTGTATCACCAACAGCCAAGATCGGGGGCTCGACAGAAGACAGCCGCTCATCCCGGGGTACATATCTAGACTCTGATCATGCTCTGATACGAGAATGCATTCGTTTTCGTCTAACTGGATGCAGACGTGTTACGCTAAGGAAATCTTAACGACAAAAAAATCAAGGGCATATTTCAGGAACGACAGGAAAATCAGTTAGTCAATCATCAAAATGTTTTCCCCGGTATGGCTGGGCATGATATTTAGACACACGTGGAAACATCAACAATACTTAACAGCGACTATAACCAAGAAGTTGAAAATATCAGCGGATTTTAGCGGGATCTATTGAGACGACAGATGCTTAGCAAATCACCCAGTAATGCTGCAAACATGACGAGGAGCAGAGGCAAATTAATCGTGGACTGGCAAACGTCTATGCAATGATCGTGGACAGTGACGGGCAGCGAAGCTATTAGCGATGGAAAGAGCGGCGACGTTAGACAACAAACGACCCTTCCCAATAACACTCACATACGTCATAAAACCCAATCTCGTATTCATAGCCTTTTTAATATTAAAGGTTGTAAACAAATAACTAGAACAAAAACGAGATAAAATGAATTCATTTTGTTCTCCTCAAATATTTTTTCTTCTCTTCAAAAGGCAATTGCGTGTGTGAAATCACTTTTAGACCATTGAGAGTAGTATTCAGTTTTGACAGTCAATACAAGTCATCCGACTTCTAATGAAGTAGGGAAGGTCGTAGCTAATTTAGAGTGACAGAGAACACCAGGTACTAATCAATTAACCCTGATGTCTCTAAGGATACTGGTACACTCTCGTTTATCAGATTGATTCAAATATTCACTAAAAATAACTATAACAACCCCACATTATACCGTCTGACTGGTCTCCATTGCTCATCATTCCAACCAACAACGGAACGGAAATCCTATTGTGGTAACCAGAGACATTCGACTTCCTTACTCCACAGCTTCTCTCTCAGTGTCAATCATTTAGAGCAGTATAAGAAAACTACATTAACCTTGTGCAGATTCTCCACTCAAACACTACGTGTCCAAACACAGCTTATGCAGAACTGACATCATAATCACCAATCTTAAATCCTACTCGTTAGATTCAACATTTTTCCTCATTTTCACACAACTTTGTCACAGACATCCCTTCCAACATGACACTCTCATCGGCTCACTACTTTCCACAAATCGACCTTCAATCACGAGACTCATTTCTTAACTTCAAATACAACGATGATATAGTCCTGTTTGGTGAAGTCCCTGATGAAATCCACACACTTCCGACAACCTTAACCAACAATCAAATAATTTTTACCATGAATCTAACTTTCCTAAAGGAAAATCTTATTTCACTACTGGTCTGTTCGAACGGCTCAACTAACAATGTGGAGTTATGTAGTTGAGTGTGTCGACCATCTCACTTATTCTAGGAGTATCATCATTCGTAATCGTTTGGTGTCTGACAAAATCTCGACACCAATTCAGAAAGTCCGGTCGACTTTCGCCAACTTTAGTTACCCTCAACGTAAGCGACATATCCATCTCCCAACGAAATGAAAAGTATACGGAAGAGCAGTTCGCTTCCTTCTATTTTATTCATGGAAAACATCCCAATGAACAATTGATGATGTTCTTAAACTGCTAGTATTTGATAATAAGCGTATTCGAAGTACCGCTCGTGTACTCTCAGATCACCTAGTAAGCAATACTGAATTTAGAACCATGGTACTTGGTAAGAATGCAAAATCAATTAATCACGTAGTGAATCTTTATCGAACAACATGGTCACGACATGTATTACATATCTCCATCCACCGACTGCCTAGACCACACATCTTCGCTGGTCTACAAGTTGGTTGAGAGAAAAGTAGAGGAGGCCAAACCAAGACTCCATCAAGTCACTGACTGTTCGACTGAGTCATATATGCAGGTACAGACTACCTGATTCGCGACTGTGTAATCATCGTAACCAATAATTAGAGATTCTGAGTGACATATGCCGCAATTATTCACAATGTCGCAGGTCCATCCACTCTTTGCCTTCACTAGGATCTTAATTTCTAATTTCTTTTCAGTCAGCCAACTTGTGTTTTCTTCTCGAATCATATCTTCAATATTCCATCATTTCTATTATCACAAATACTGTTACTACCCTTAGTAGTCTAGAAACTGTTTTGACAATTCCATCTCAGTGTGTTGATGGGCATGGAAACTTGAGCCGATGTATATATGTGCCAGGTTCTACTCTGAGTACGATTGTCAGATTAATAGATATGTACTAACCAATGAGGAAGGAAATGGGGAAACTCGAAAATGAAAAGCATACCTACTAACCTAATAGAGAATAACTCGATGACTAGAGCGCTAAAGATTACGTCATTCGTGGTTTTTTATGTTGCAAATCTTTATGAATGATGTAACTTTGTTGAGTGAATTGAGACGTCTGAGCATTTCTTATATCCAATAGTAGGTTACAAGATAATTATTTGACTGATATGCAGTTAGGTTGCCACTTCCGTAAATTAACATGTCACAGAATATCACCTCCAACCACTCAATTATTTCTTTACATGGAATTCCAATGGGAACCAACAAGTTAGAATAACAGGTTATGATCCGTATTCCACAGACACGTCAAAATTCATTGAATAAGCGTATACTAGGATATCACACACAAATACATCAATTAGTAACAAGGCTTATTCTCCCACGTCATGATTATATAATCAGATTTACAGTTTTTTATGTCTGTTTAGTTAACGAAACGCTCAAACGGACCAGCATTCAAAAACTAGCTACAACTCGACAATCAAACCAAGTTCTGTGGTATTCCACTTCCCGTCATGGGGTTAACTCGTTAATCAGACGTAGGGTGGAAATCGGATCTTATGAACGAGTGAATATGAATCGAATACTCTGGCTATCAAGCAACCGATCCATAATCTAGACTGCTGAAATATATAGAATGTGACAGTAAAAATGTGCATATCAAAATCTATCGCCTAATAGTGACTTTAAAACTATAGTGCTGTCAATAAAATAGTACATAGTATTGAATGAGTATAATACTGTATATTATCGAAAATTCATACAACTAAGACTTTTTAGTGCCCTTTGTGAGTAGTCTTTATAGTTAACATTATCTACTGCCACTAACAATCTTGTGACAACATCATTTTTAACAATCGATATGTGTTTTCTTCATTGAATATCTGAGCATAGATAAATAATTAACTTATTTTTGAGCTTAAATCAAGAAAACTTAAAAATATTATTACAATGGTTACATAAAATAGTAGTGAGTATCAGTCTAATTTCTTTTATCTCGATTAGACTATGAGTCAGTCAGTTGTATGAGTATTTCGATGTAAAGAACGAACTCTCTAGATTCTCGGTTGTGCTAAGGGATTATTATTAGATACCGTCGTGGCATTCACAACAAAAAGATACTGATTATTTCTTTAGTGTTCTAAAAATCTCTATACGACTAGGCAACAACAATACTTGGAAATTTTTGCAGTTAAATAACACATTTCATGGTTTTTCTCTAGACACAACCTAATTATGAACATAAAACTGCTGATTTTAGAGAGTAAAACAAGGATATATGGTACGAAAATGACAAATAAAAACATATGACAAAATTTTCAAAATTATATAAATAAATTGAAAACCTACGGCCTTGGGACTCCAACTTTCCTAGTGTCTGAGCACCCACTTTTGTACTCTGAAATTCAAAAATAAAAAAAAACGGAAGTTCTATAAATATAAATGCTTTCCAAAGTTTTGTCAAAAATGGAAAACTTATTAACAGAATATTGTTAACAAATGAAAAACAATATGTAATACAAAATAGAAATGAAGAACACAATATTTGAATTTTGATCGTAAAAATCTTATTATCATAACGTTTACGATCGAAGTGAGAAATAAATTAGGGGTCAAAGTGCCTTGCTTTTCACCAATAGGTTCACGGTTCAAAGCTTGTATATATCTACTTCTATTTGTGAACTAGGGTATTATCATTAAGTGTGACAATAGAATTTTGGCTTAAAGCCCACTACAGAAAGCTGTGTATGGCAAATGAGTTACGTTGAAAAATATTCCAATTCACAAACACATGTCAATGCTTAAAAAACACCAAACGTATTTGTCCTTTGAGTCCTGAACTACAAAAACGTCTAGTATGGAAAAGCTATGAAACTGAGCTAGGAACAGTAATTAACTTAGGAGAGATTAGTTGAAAGCGACAAGTGAAATCATCATCCATTTCAAGACTTGTTAACAAGTATTATATTATTTAAGCTGTCATTGTATCTTAATTTCTAAACTCATTAAATCAAATAGCATAACCAGAAACATCAATCGGTATTCCTGTAAATATGAAGTTAACCATGTGGACAACAAATAAGCAATTTGTACCCACCATCATCGGTTAATCCAACAATCAATGACTTTATGAGCTGACAATATGTCTTGGTTTAGCTTCCCTAAGCTTTCTTCCAACTTACTATTACTCCAGATAACACCGTGTCAAAGTAGGTGATGGTCGGGGATATGGAAGATATATCTCAGTCACCTTAATCGATGGATGTTTTTAGTTTTGCTAACCAGTTCTCCAGATTTTTCTAGCACTCGAAACCTAACACCAGTAACTAAAGTAATAGAATGAAAAGAAATACTTTAGATTTTATTAGATTACGATACAATGTTATTGGTTATGGTGTAAAACTCGTAAAACACTTAGTTGTGTGAGGTAGGTGAGCACTTCGGCCAAGCAGGGGATGCATCGATAACAGCTTCATTCTCTGCCAAATTCTTCAACCCTTTCAAAAGTATTGAGGTACTGTTATGTTTTTTTGACATCAATACCACTTTCTATTTGGTTGACGGAACTGTATCGTAGGGGTCTTTTTTAGAGGGAACCTATATCTGGAAAGCCTGCCAACATATCAAAAGCTTTATGTCAGGACATGTAAAACGGAGTGAATGGATAGGACCATCGAACTTCAGTATTCTGAACTGGCTGTTGATTTAGATAAGGTTGTGTAATTTCGACATCTCTCCTTAAATTTTCCAGCGTCGATATTCTGGGAACAGCTTTTTTGAAGTCTGCTACTACAGATCCGCTACCAAGAGAATGATTTTTCGGACTTCAATCGTACGATAATATTATTTGAATATGCGATGACATATAAACTACGTAAATCGCACTTAATCATTTGGTCATTGTTGCCCGCGTAGGCCCAGTGCACTATGAATCATCAAAGACCTCATTATTTCTACAAGATTGGGAACAACCCGTGACTGGACTTATTCATTGTAATGAGCTGTTGCAAAATGTCAAGTTTGTGAAGTCGAGTAGACGCGACTGATGGTGGTGACAGATATGGTCAATTTACATACAGCAAAAGCACAGAAGCATTGTAGCAATTTGTATGATCTTTGGCACTGGCATAATATTAGTTTGATAACAAAAGTTTAGAGGCCTACAGCTTTGGTTCAAACAGTTTTATCTTGTGCTTATAAAACTTGGTCTATTTGAGTTTACAATGTTCGAAAAGTATTGATAATAGACCAGTGACTTCAAGGGATTAGTAATATTCCGAAATCATCTGGTTGATACTGACGTCCGCTGACCGTAGATGTTACCTCGACAGTCTATAGTAGTGGCTAAATGCCCTGGTACGACCGAGAGTGGGATGGGCCCGCCCTCCCTTTTGAAATGCTCTCACATAGCCACGCGTATACAGCCCCTTCCAGGGAAGTCCTACTCATTTCCTTCTCGTGGAGGGGTGTTGTTTACGAAAATGAGAGGACGAAAAGCGAATGTCCGGCACTTTAACCGGATTCCAAATCTATGGTGCACATGGGTACCAGTATCCTGAGGGAACAAATGGCGTATGAACCAATCGTTGGTCACCGGCTACCATGGGACTGCATCTCCTAACATTGCTCCATTGCCTTGTAGATTATACCTTCAGGCCAAAGGCTATGAGTGTGATCCCTAAGAAAACCAACTGCTTCGGTCTGGGCACCCAGGCAGTATCACAGCCCACACACAAACAGAATGAAATGAAAATACTTACGGAAAATACAATACTTGCTCCGATTAACAGTCAGACGATTCACGTTATTATTATTATTATTATTATTATTATTATTATTATTATTATTAATTACTACGTCATTTACTCACTCTCTTTTATTTCCACTAAGTGTATCCTTATTTCTCGACTTATACAGCAGCTCGCCTATGGTGGAAATTCGGTTCTATTTAAACGTTCTCGAGTCGCTGCCTAGTTGAAAATTGTATGCTACCACCAAATACGAGTACTGAAGCAGTTTTTCTGAAACCACGTGCACCATTCAAACTGGCTGCCTTCAACGTTCGCACACTTATGCAGGTCGGACAACAGATAGGGCTGGCTATGTCTTTGAAAAGTCTTAATATCGACGTTTGTTGTCTATCTGATACCCGTTTTCAAGACTATGGTGAAGTACGACAAGTTCGCTCTCCATCTGTCACTTCAAAAAGCTTGTTTTACGTGCGTTTATCCGAGGACTATGTGGCATCTTCGTCTGGTCTTGCTGGCGTTGGTGTCGCACTAAGCGCTAGAGCTGAGGCAGCACTAATCGATTGGATCCCCATTAACAGTCGGTTATGTGCTGTTAGATTAGAGAGTTCCATCAAAGTGAGAAGAAATCGGCGTGAGAAACGATGCCTTTTCGTCATCTCCGCCTATGCTCCGACAGATTGCAGCCCGGATGCAATCAAGGATGAATTCTACCACCAGTTAACCGTTCTTCTCCAGAAAGTGCGTTCGACAGATATTGTAGTACTACTCGGAGACTTGAATGCTCAGGTCGGGCGTCTAGGCACAGAAGAGAGTCGTTTAGGTGGCCGATGGAGACTTGTTGGTCGCAGGACAGATAACGAGGACCGTCTACTGCAACTGTGCACAGACCACAACCTGTTTCTGGCTAGCACTAACTTTCGGCACAGTCATCGCCGACGTGCCACCTGGCGTCCTCCCTCTGCATCTCAAGTCTGGACTCAGATTGATTACATCGCGATCAGCTACCGCTGGCGTGGTTGTGTACAAGACTGCCGCTTCTTTTGGAGTACCTATCTGGACTCTGATCATACCATAGTCTGCGTCAATCTCACCTTACTTTGCAGTGGATAACGAAGTGACCGCCACCAAAGGATTGATGTCAGCAAGTTAGGTGCAACTGCGGTTGCAAGTAAGTATCGAATCGAGCTAGCTACCATTCCACCGAGAAGTGTAGATGAGTATTGGTTGCAACTGCATGACGCCATGAAAATGACGAGTAAAGTCACTTTTGGGTTCGCAAAACGTCCCGCTTATAAGCACTGGGTTTCTTCAGGCTCCTTACAACTCATTGAAGCCCGTCGGTCTACTCCGGGTGACCGTGAGTTTGACCACAAACGAAGGATGTTACGTAATGAAATTGAGCAAAGCTTGTGTAAGGACCGAGAAGCCTGGTGGTCGAAGCGTGCTAATGAACTGGAAGCAGCAGCTGCATCTGGTAACTACCGGAAGCTCTTCCAACTCATCCGAGCCACTGGCAGCAAGAAGTCTGGTGTGAGCGAAACAATCTGTGAGGATGATGGTATGCCAATCACTAACATCCATCGACGTCTTGGACGATGGGCAGAATTTTTCGAAGAGCAGGTCAACTGGCCTGCTGCTCCGACAACATCGGTCAGACTGTCCTGCCCTCCATGGCCGGTGACGACTGATCCACCAAGTGAGGTGGAGGTCCGCAAGGAACTCCAACTCTTGAAGCGCTACCTCCGGCTCTTTTTAAAGATGGTGACTTTCTGACTAAGGAACTGACGACGTTGTTCATAAAGGTCTGGGAAGTAGAGAGTGTGCCAACGTCTTGGAATGAGTCGATAGTTTTCCCTATTTTAGGATTCATGTTGCTCCTGTAGCAACTATCGGGGGATAAGTCTACTTCCGATTGCGTCCAAGCTATTGGCTTTTGTCATACTTCTTAGGTTGTTCAAAACCCGAGAAAGATTGACTTGCG